ATATATATATATATATATATATATATTATTTTATATCGATAAAAATAGTTATATTATTTTATTTACAATACATTGTTCAAATCAAAAATCGTTGAAAAGAAAAGATGTAATATATTACATATAAAAGGGTAACCCAAAAAAATATTAATTCTTTCAAAACTAAAAAATTAATAGTAAAAGGTAATTAAATTTGTAACTAAAAATTAAGACTAACATAATGATTTATGATACAAAAAAACTATATGTATATACATATATATATATATATATATAGAGAGAGAGAGAGAGAGAGAGAGAGAGAGAGAGAAAGGATCATATGAGAATGACTCTTAATGCGAGAAATGAGAATAAGTTTGGACCATGGGATCAAGCATATCAATGGGTATGATGAAGTCAAATTATGATCAATCATTAATGGCAATTTGGTAATTATTGACCATAGTGTGGTCAAATATGTGTATTTGACCAATAATTAAGGGTAAGGTGGTAAATAAACATATAAAGTGGGACCCACTCATTAAATCAATTCAACACACATTTTTCTCTCTCTTCAACATCTCTTCTCTCATTTTTCTCTCTCCTCAACCTCTCTTCTCTCCATTTTAACGGATCTGAAACAGAAACGCACACAATACACACACACACACACACACAGCCCAGCAGTTCGACCACCACATCGCCGCCGCCTTCCGCCACATCCATCCGTTCTCGCCCACCTTCCGGCCACCGGAGAATCGTCGCGCAGCCGCCTCCGCCTGTACCTGCACAACCACTGCCGCCTCTCATCTCGCCGCCGGCCTTTTACCTGTCGGCGGTTTTCAGCCCGCCGTCGTCTCCTTCCTCAGCTTGTCGTCGCCATTCTCAGCCCACCATCAGCATCCCGCCACTGCCATCGCCACCGTACAAAACCAGTCTGCCGTCGAGCACATCCGTCACCACCCGACTCCGGCAACGTCGCAGCCGTCGCTTCCAGACCGACCCCCGCTTCTATCCCTTGCCGTCCATCGTCCGCTCATGCCGCCTCCGTCAACGTCTGGGCTGTCAACCGTTTTAATGTCGTGAAACTTTCGGTCATCTTGGCCGCTCGTCGGTGAACGTTGACGGCGAATAACCGGCCAACGTCGGCCGGCAAGACCACTGTGATTTTGGCCAAATATAGCAATTGTTATATGCTGCGTTCGAGAACACCCAACCGGTCATAGGGGACTACGAAGCCCACCGAATCCTCTGTTTCAGTAGATCGAAGGTCTTAAGGAGTACAGAGTTGTACCCGAGGAGTAGCGATAGCCGGTAGGCCCGGTAGCATGATTCGAAGTGACTGGTGGGCTACAAGAAGCCGGACATCAAGGCACGAAGAAAAGATAGAAAAAAGTGATACTGGATCACCCGGGAGACCCGGGACCGCCCCTATCGAGCAGCCGTACAGGAAGCTCTAGGGAAGTGGAGTGACACATCGCCAAGTTTGCCGTGCCTTTGGCCAGTTAAGACGATCAAAAGGCCTGCGACCAACCACTATGGCTCCATACCTTCAGCAATATCGCGTTGTTCAGACCGGACAGAACGAGTTTTCTTATCACGGATTAAATGGATGGGTAGCTACACCGGACCGAAAGGACCGAGCTAACTCATCGAAAAGAAGTGACAGAAGTGAAACGAAAAGAAGACTCAACTGTCCTTTAGTCGGCCGAGTGAGCAGACTCATCGAAGGCTCGGAAAACGGGAAAGCTCACCGAGCTGACCGAGACTAGAAACGAGCAACGCGAGCTAAGGGTGGTGAATAGGAAGGGAGCGCTCGTAAAAACGCAGAGAGGAAGATTAAGAAAGTGGTTCAGGAGCCCTAAGGATAAGGCCCACTAACTCAAGCAATTACTCCGTTAGAGTTATGAATCGGGCTTAAGAAGCCCTTAAAGCAGGAGTTGTATCGCCCTTTGGGCTCTTCTTCTCTGATCTTGCCTTACAGAAAGTAGGACTTTCTTCAGGCGCTAGCTTCATCTTGTCTTACAGCCGCTAGCTGCAGTCGTGGCTTGCAGCCGTAGAAGGTTAAGCCCTTATTTTTGTTTGAGTTTTGGGGTTTTTTATGTGAGAATTTGAATTAATGTAGGGGCCTAATTGCAATTTATAAAATTTTATTTTATTTCAATGTAGTGTAATTGGGAAATTGATAATATAATAAGAGTTTAATACATACACAATAATGCATAAAATGCACTATATTTATTTTTTATATTTCAATAGAAAATCATAGTTAATATTTGTATACAAAATAATAATAATAATAACAATAATAATAATAATATTTTTAATATAGTTTGGTTTTTATTTTAGTTATTTAAATAAAAAAATGTCATCGTATCGAAAATACTCGATATATAGAATAATAATAATAATAATAATAATCGAAACAAAATAAATTTTCGTACCGAATTTATGTTTTTTGGATCTCGTTCGATTTTGTGCAATATGGTAGACGTTTATGTGCAGTTAGTATATCCATTATGTGCATTCGCAATATATATAAGAATATATATAAAAAAATAGTATAAATTTTTGTTAAATATATAAATAAAAAAGAATTGGTAATATTTTTCATATAGTTCGCCAGGTTCAGTTATTTTATTTATTTATAAAGACTAAATTCGACATTTAACCAATTAACGTATTCGATCGATTAGCATAACTCAATTGCTATTCACCGTCCCCTATTATTACTTACCGCCCCCCTTTGGACAATTTTGCTCCTGGCATTTTTTTTTTCAAAAAGTAAAAGAAAAAAATAAAAACAAAAACCGTCCGGCCGGCCGGTTCGGACGGCATAAAAACCGTCCGGTTCCGGCGGCCGGACGGTTTTTTTTTTTTTAATAAATTATAATAATACTTATAATTTAATTATAATGAAAAATTATAAATTATAATTTAAAATTATAATTATTTTAATTTAAAACAAAAAAATAATATATTAATAAAAAAATTTATATTAATTAATTTATTTGAAAAAAAATTAATATAATTTAAAACAAATAAATATTATATTAATAAATAAAAAGTATATTAATTAATTTATTGGA